GCAATGAGTGGCTTAGTCACAAATCGATAGAGAACATAAAAAAACTGGTTCGCCTCAACGTGTTTTTACACATTTTTTTACATTAAGGGGACCCCCCCCCCATTCTCGGGGTCAAAATGTTTTTTGATTAAATTCGATTCTACACTAATTCAAGAATGTCTCTGCAAAATTTCAAGTGAAAATCTCAAGAACTCTTGAAGATATAGCCGATTTATTGTGTCAGCATCAAGTGACGGCTAAAGGGCTTCTCAAACTTTAAACGCGTTTTTCTCTTTTGCGAATGGCGGGCACGATAACTCAAAAACTAATAACCCAATCGATTTCAAATTTGTACTCGTTTCTCTGTGAGTGTATAGCTATCGTATGAACTAGGATAAAGCCAATCGGTGTAGATCTTCCTTATTTTTTAACTTGGTTTTTGGTCAAAATTCGGCGATTTTTCAAAAATATTTTTTCAAAGGTCCGCCATTTTGTTAATTTTTGAGCGAATTCAATAATCCTAGTTCATACGAGAGCCAGACATGTACTCTTTCTAACACCGTTGGAATTTTCGGATTTCGATGATCCAGTGAGGAGTTATCATGCCCGCCATCGAAAATAAGGACTTTTCTTTAATTACAAAAAACAACAACAAAACAACAACAAAATTTTTTTGTAAATTATTTTTCTTCTTTTTTAAATCTTCAAATATGTATGTGCAAAGTTACAAACCTTAACAAGCATTGGTATTGATTTGCCAGCCCATTGAAAATCTTGAAAAATTAAAATCGAGAATGGGTGGGGTTCCCTTAAAGTAGACACAGCTTCTACCAAAATAAAGTTTGGAGGTCAATATCATGAACAGTTTGCAACGACAGATCAATTAACCCAAAACTATTCACTTTTTATCATATACTTAAGTAGATCCCGAGTTATAAAGGGGTGAACCTCCGCTTCAGCTATGTTAAAAAATTGGCAATATTGCCCATATATATAATATATATACTATTTAATTCATTGGTTACACCAAACTCAAATTTCTAAACCCTATCCAACGCTTTTAATCATTTTTATTATCCAAACTCCATATGTTGTTTTTTATTTGTCCATCTGCCTGTTTGTCTCTCCATCTATTAAATGAGGGAGCATGATTGTGATTGATTTCCAACACAATCAAATATTCAAGAAAAAAAAAGAAAGTTTTTTTCCGTCTCATCTCAATGCTATGTCTTATAAGAAACGCCCTATCTGATTTTGTTTAAAAATCATTTGGTTTTTTGTTGTTATAAAATTCTCAAAAGATGGCGAAGCATGCTGGAAAATAATTGATCAGTGAAAATGTTATCATCACCAATCTATTGATCACTAGGTCAGCGCGCAGCCACCTGTACCAGCATTAATTTGATGCAATCAATAAATACTGATACTGATAGGGACACAAAGATCAATAAACTTTTGAGCACCAGCGGCAGAGTAAACGCTTCACGCGGATGTAGACGCACACACACACACACACCAAGTGGAGTTGTCGTTTCACTTTGCTTTGGGCTGGACTACTACTTCAAGACACAAGAAAATTGTCATCGATATAAAAGTGTAATTTGGGTCAAACCTTGCTATGACCTTGAAAGCAAGCACAACTAGTGTAGCTGTTGTTTTGAGCGAGTAACTGTATATACAGCATCGTCATCATCAACATCGCCATTGTTGTCATCCTCATCTTTGGAAGAGGAATCTCATTGCTATTTGTTTATTGTACTCGTTTTTGTGAATAAATGTGTGTGGCGGCAAAAATAATTGGGAAATGCACAAATAGTATAAAATATACATAGAAGATCCAAATCAAATTTGCAGGGTCTTGTGTGCTCAGAGTACACGTGCGAATAACAAAGAAATTATTAATAATTAATTATTAGCTATTCTATGAATAAAATAAAATTATTATTTTGGCATAATCATAAGCAAACAGATATACATTTTTTGAGTTCAAATTCAGAATTCGGAAAAATTAATGGGAATCGTCGTTACTAATAGGTTTAATAATAAAAACATTTAAAAATGAAAAAAAAAAAAACAAATCAAAATCCAAATTGGAAGTTTTTATTGTTAAGGAATATTAGCTATGCAACGTGTTATGTTAATTGTGGACTTTTTTCGGAACCCTGTCCTTCCCGCATGTTCTATCCAATCTAACCTCAGCGGAACAACGTTTATGTCTTTACACTTATGTAGGTTAAAAATATTTCCTGATCTAGCCGCTTTTATCATTAAAATTGGTTGTACTTCTTGTTTGACTATTGTCTACGGTAGGTGAGGTGAGAATGAATGAGGACTTGCACTGTTTTTTTTTTTTTTTTTTTTTTTTAAAGGAACTGCGATTTAATTTCTATATAGGTTATCCAATTTTCTATTTGTGTTTTACAATTCATTACACACATTTTAGAGATATCAATCATTTGCGTTGACTATTTTATACATTTTTCTTGTTTTTTTCTTATATTGATAAAATAAAATTTTATTTTAAGGCCAAATTATTTTATTTAAAAACAAAACACACACTAATAGCAATTTGAAATATTTTTATTTCATCTCAGCGAAATTGGTGTGGAAATTTCCAATACTTTTTTTCGTAATCATTAAGAGAAACTTATGAGAATTCCTTGAAAAAAATAATAATAAAAAAATTGTGGAGACAATAAAATGTACAAGACACTGGCGAAGCAAACAGAAAGCCACAACCCCATCGGAGCCAGCCAAAGCCGCAATTACGGTAATATATGGAGGAAGTCTCGTCTGTTGCAATAATCGCCAAAAATAATGAAATGAAACATAGCCACAGCATTTCACTTGAGTTATGGACCAAAAATCAAGTGATGATTTCTTGAAAAAAATTAAAATTTTCAATATCATTATGCGATAGCCACTTGGACAGGAGACTCCACTTTGGAACAATCGAATGAATGCTGGCGAGATACAAACAACGAAAGATGAAAAATGACTTGGAGAAGAAATTAACAAAAGCAGAAATAAACATTTCTGAAAAATTGGGTTAAGATGTATGAAACAATGTACACCAAGGTAAGATTTAGTATCTTCGGAGACGCTTAATAATTCTGCTTTCCACAAAGAATGGCAGTACCACGTAGAAAAGGAGGATGATTTAAGTAATCCAAAAAAAAAAGAAAGAAATGAAATTAATAAATGTGATGCGGTGTTTAGCATTTTAAAAACGAAATATCCAGTTTATTGATTTGTTGAACAAAAGGCTTAACACAATTTCAAGCGATGATCGTCTTGTTGGTGGTATTCCCAACACAAGTCATAAAATATTTGATTCTGAAATTTGTAGGTCAAAATTTAAAACTAAAAAAAGGGCACAACCAATCACCGCACTGGAGGCAAACAAGGGCAGCATATTTTTTATTGTATATAAATAAATAGAAACTGCATAAATCACTGAAATAATTAGGCAATTTCCAGGATTTTTTGTTTTTAGTGTGGCGAAGGAGTCGGTTGGAAAATCTTAAATACATAATTACATGAAAATCATAACGTATTTTTTTTCTATAGACCGAATAAAAGTATTTTAATTTACACAAACGTGAAAACATTAATTGAAAATTATTTTTAATTTTGTAATAGAAGACTGAATTAAAAAAAACGACGTCAGGCCTTTCGATGAAGACATCTAAGTCATTCCATCGGACGTCAACGGATCCTCCATAACGAGGGACGCTGTATATCAACCACCATAAAGTGCTATATATGCAATATGACCGTACACCAAGATCCAGCTGCAGGTACCCTTGCTCCCAAATTTCTAAATATGTGCTCTTTATTTATCTGTACATCTTTACGAATAACGGTGACATAATTTGCCGTTTATACATAAAATAATTATAATTTTCAATTTCTCTTCTGCTATTTTCTATCTAATTTTGTACACCTTTGAGCGCGGACCACCCGTGCCCGTAATACTATTTTTGTGCTCATATTTAATGCAAGTCTCCTAAATAAGATATGAACAAAATTTGACTACACTACATCCTTGCATGCGGAAGAGACAGTACAAAAATTAAACTCCATTATATTAAAAAAATCCGAATATATTAATTTACAGCCAATTCGGTTGAAAAACCTACACTCCGCAAAATACGAAATCAGAGAGGTGCCGTTATAGGGCTATCCTAAAAAGTGGACCAATGATAACCCATAATACCATATTACAATCTAATCGGTGGAAAAACGTGTCAAAAATCCCTAAAATACCATTTTCAATACCAAACATCCTAAGAGTTTTTAACAGACGGACAAGCATAAATCGGCATAGAATTTTATTCTGATCAAAAATAGATAGATAGATACCTTATGGTGGAGCAATATACATATAAACTACCAAATGAAAGATGTCCCTAAAATTTCTGTAGCACAATCGAGATGGCTTTCCTATTACTTTAGTAGAAAATAATGTGTGAGCAAAAACCCAAAAATAAACTTTGCATATTAATTAAAAACTAAATCTATTTATACAAATGAGATTGGAATTTGTGTTGAAAGTCTCTTGATAGAGTATTAATCAAACACACTTACATATACGACATACAGACACTCACATAGCTATTTTTTGATTTCTTTTGCAACCCGATTGTATCTAAATTTAATATTCCGCCTAAGTGAGTGACTTTGTTGAATGGAATCAAATGTGTGGCGATTTTTCTTACATAAAGTAAAATTAAAGTTGTACAGTAATCCCTTACACATCTATTGAATAACATAGCTTTGCATACTTTTAGGCATTTATTTTTTATTTATTTTATTTTCAAATTCATGATGCCTAGTCTTTCGACCTAAAGGCATTCGTGTTAGTAAATATAACAACCCACAACTTAATTACTGGGATATTTTGAATGGGAAATATTAAAAAAAATATTCCCCACTAATAAATAGTGTTTTTTTAATACGAACAACATACTGAGATTCAGCCTGACTATTTTGGAAAAACAAAAAGGAAAACTACTTACGGTTCTGCTTCTATGGATTTCAACTTGGCAACATAGTTGGATGGTATGTAGCCTTCCTGACGGGTCTTCTTGCTGCGCGCCAACCACCAATCACCCTGAAAAATTGAAATTTGCATTTAATTTTTTTTTTTTAATTTTATTATATACAACAAACAAATAATATACAAAGTTCTAAAAAAAATTTATAAGATATGAAATAAGAAAAATATCAATTCTTCTAAAAAAATCAATAGCAGAATATTGAAATTGGCGCCTGTAACTTCCCAAGAAATTATCAGTTGTTATTATATTTCAGACATAGCTTGCCACAAAAATGAATCATTTTTTCCGAAAGCAATATGACATATTTAATTTGATAATAATTTTTAGCTTTATTTATCACACTACTTGTACTGGTACTAAATTTTATTTACTCGTGTTGTTGTTTGTTTCTTCGTCTTTTTTACGTCACTAAGATTTTAATCAATTGTCTATCCAATTGCCTAACAATAGACATCGAATAGCTGATACCCTTATATATTCATATTGATTGAAACGGCCGGAAGTCGGTTAATCCAATGAAGTAATATCAAAGTATTAAAGACAGGTAAGTTGTTTGTTTATAAAGAAACTTTACTACACTTTCGACAAAATGAGTTAAAAGTTCATTTGTATTAAACCAATTACTTGAAGAATTTATGGTCTCATATTACTAATTGTTTATTTGAGGGTAATAAAATCAACAATGTTGTTCCAAATATGTTAATCGGTATGCAGTCGAAATCGCTTATAACGGCGATCAAGTGAGCGGCGAAATCGGTCGTTACAAGCGACAGGTTGTTATAAATAATATCAAATAAAGAGCCGAACTGCCTCGGGGCTCTTGGATACAGTCGATAAATATGTCCTGTTAACGGTGTAGTTATAAACGATTTCGACTGTATATGCGTATATAGTTTAGGGAATATATTTTGTGAGCTTAAGATTTTCCAAATCGGTGTTCTATATTTGTACTAATTCCACCCACAGTTCGTTCTCAACGATATTCTATATCATAAAGTCGTTATTTTTCAAATAACAGCTTTTTAAGTTGTGTGTTCAGGGATTATAGTATGATTTCATTTCTATTTAATTGTAATTGTTTCAACCCTATAATTACCGCTGCAAACATTTTCCACATCCCAGCTAACAGTTTTTTTCAGAAGCCGGAATTTGTTTAGATCTTTTCTGGTGCTTTCTGATCTCAAACATCAGAATATATTAATTTTAATGAGAAATAAACTGACTGAAAATTTGTCAGATTTTTAGATCAAAAATCCGAAAATGTTCAGAAGAAGCAATTTGTAAATGTTACTTTACGTTTTTTTTTTTAAGTATTACGTATATCGAAATTGTCCTTAGAATTTACCAACTTTTTATACACTCGGCCTTATGGTTATTTTTGCCATAAAAAAATGTGCCTTATCAACAAATTGGTTTTTGACCCCATGTTTCTTTGGACTAAATCCGTGCTGACGCGCACAATTACTCTAGAAGGGAGTAGCCAATTTCATCCATACTTCAAAATTTATATAAAGCCCGAAGATGGGGAATTTTGGTCCAATTTTTAAAATGTTCCTGAACATTAATTTTATAATCTGATGAGAACTCAATATCCGATTTGACCAAACTTTGCATATTGTAATATTTTTCCAGCCTAGATCAAGTCGTAAGTTGGGACTTCTTCCACAACATTTTGATTATTTTTAAATCAAATACTAAGCGAATGGAATGCCCTATTTGATTTTATATATATGTTAATATAAGTTATTGGTCATGCTGGCTTTTTTATATTACATTGTATGAAATAAATGAAATGAAATGAAACTCTGCACATCGTAGTTGTTTACCAGCTCTAAATCAAGTCCGAAGATTCTGGGACCTCCGAAAAAACATTCAAAATTGTTAATCCAATATCTAGAGATTGGAATGTCCGATCCGATTGTAATGTCCAATTTGGTGTAAATCTTGCACATCGTAATACTTTTACCAAATGTGGAACAAGTCCGAAGATGGAACCCATCGGTCCACTACTTGTGATACCTCCATAGATGTATACACCTGTTCGGCAACACCGACTGACACTTTTTTACAGGTTTCGTAAGGGGTTTCAAACGAATTCCTTTGGCATTTCCGATGTTCCTTCGACTGTGTATGTATAGGACCATTACATTTAAATGAATTTCGGGTTACATATAGGGACCACAATGTAGAGAATAGAACAAACTCTCAGCTAATGCAGTACTTTCGCAAATATATACTTACAACTTACGAGAAAAAACTAATATATTCTTAATCTTAATACAGAAATTATCAATGATCAAAAATATAATATGTCTGATCAAAAATAGAAATTGATACACGTATTACGGGTCTCATAGGGCAAGGGTGCCAATATTCCAACAACATAGTTGTCAAAGACATATTCAGAAATTGCCAATAGATGTTGAAATTACATCGTAACACCAGAATAAAACAATTCAAGACGCTCCATTAGTAGTTCATAATGTGGAAACGTACATTTGTTTATTTTCTACCTCTTTTTACTTCGATATATCACGAATTCCACAAAAAGGTCAACCACACAGGTGAAAAATCAATTCATTAAGAGAGATATAAAATTATATAGGAAATATTCTTTGCAATCCGGACAATATATTTTTAGTTGAATCTTGAAAAAAAGGAAGTTTTTCTTTTTGTTGCACTATTTTCGCGTGGAGAGTAACTTGGGCATATTTTTATTAGTTTTAGAGTGTCATTTGTCGTAAGTGTGAACGCTGTTAGCTAAAACAATATCAATAATAAATATTAAATTCAAATAAAGTAATATCTTACTAAGAATTACATATATATATAATCCTATACATATACCAACAGAATCACGTGGTATGTGCAGTTAAATAGTGTAAGAAAATAGGTAACGTGTGCGTGACAAAATTAACATATGTTTCTATACAGACTCTAATATGAGAAAAATTTTTTTGATACTGCTGTTATGTGTGGATCTTGAGATGACAAACGCAAATAAAACAACGTTTGTCTTCTATCCCCATCGAACAAATTTTTATCCGTCACGAACATGTTACATTCTTCCTCAATAAGTTGATTTAGAACCGAATTTACAGGCAAAAACTTCGTCCATAAATGCATAATGATTTACTAAAGGTCTTGGGGCCACACAAAGCATAATACTCTGACAACATAGTTGTGTGGGGTATAGGAACTAGCATTTTTAAAACATTCTGTTTTGAATTTAATTTTTTAGTACATGTGTGTGTAACAGTGCGTTACGAGTGTAACATGTGCGTGACGGTGTTCAAAGTTAAAAAAGTATATGTTAGAAATTTTTTTCTCAAAAAACTTAAATGTCAATATAATCTTGAATAACCCATTATAGCTGTAAAAAAAATCCGCAATTTTATCACCAGCCAATTCGCAGAAATTTCATATCGAAACTGATATCCAATTTTTAAAGGGAAATTTTTGTAGCACGTGCGTACGCTAATTTTTTCTTAATATCTCCGAAATTTACAAACAAATTCATAAAAAAGTTAGCAGGTATTGTAAAAGAAAAACTATTTAATAAAAATTGCAAAAGAAATTTCGGAAACTAATTTTTCTTAACTAAACAAACGATTATATTTCGCACGCTGTAACAGTGCGTGACAAGGAATTCGTGATATTCTTTAATATGTGATTAATATAAACTTGCCTCTGCTAAAGCAAAATATTTTTCATCATTATGCATTTTTTCCTGTCAATATTTTACTGGTTGTTGTTGTTGTAGCAGTTTATATGTATTGAATGTTTCCTGTTATGTTTCCTCCAGTTCTGTATCCAGATTTAGGAATGCAGCTACCTACACTGGCTGTAGCCACAAATCTTCCGGAGTAAGGTGAATAGGTTTGGCTGGGCAATTGAACAAGTGCAGTGTGGTATGAGGGCCTGTACCACATCATCACCCTGGTCATCAATCCGTGCCCAATAAGAATTGAGCCGACTGCACCATCCAGAACGTAATTGAGCCAAAACTACTATATATATGTTTGTATTTTACTGGTGTATGTCGTCTACGCACAGTAACATTTAATAATTTGGACTTGAGTCACATTCGAAGTAACATGTACTTATAGAGGGAGTGGTATTTTTCAGGCACAATATACGACGACCATTTCACTCTAATGTCTATTTAAGGAAATGTGTTTTCTGTGGGACCTCAATAAATGCCGAAGCCTGTATGTACGCCCCGTTAAGGCATTGAGTAGACAATATTTTATTATTTTCGTCACGTGCGTATATTAGTCACTATCAAAATTTTGATTAAAAATTAACTTTTATTGAAAAAATAGCAACATATTCATATTTAAATACTAATCTGAAAATATAGTATTTAATACTTTTTCCAATATAATGCTTTATTATTTTACAATAGGAACACTAAACATAGATTTTCATTCGCTGTTTTTGCAATCTAGTTTGTTTTAAGAATCTGAAAGAAAATAAATATTCACATCGATGCTTTAAATTAATACTTCATACATCTTTGTCCCTGTTTTGGATCCAAGCTAATGTTACAATTAATTTCATAAGGGAAAATTTATATTCATCGACTATTCAAGGACATATCTCCGTCGTCAAATATAAATTGTTTTCATTTATTTACCCTCTTCAGGTAAATTTCATTGCCGAATTTTCTTTTCAACTTTTAGTTACTATTTCTTTTCACATTGGACCAGAGCCAACTGTATGAAATAATGTCGTCATGGTTATAGCGACATCTGTTTCGAATCGTCAGAATTCTCACTGTTATGTTAGGTTACTGGGTGTCTTTTGTTTGCATTCCTTAGCCGGCTGGTTGACTAGGTGGCATGTACAATCTGTTTATGCTGCAACAAAAATTTCCTTCATTTTTGCATTGACTAGCGGACAATTCAACATCGGTAACATCGTCATCGCCAGCTCATGCAATTTGTTGTACCATCGTCATCATAGCCATCAGCAGCGCCCGTTGTGGGGGAGAATAAACAATGGCAACCAACGCCTTCTTCGGCCCCAATGTATGAATGAATGAATGTTT